GCCTCAGCAGAAGATGATGGGGCAGGAGTTGTCGATGTCAAAGCTTTTGATGGAGAGGCTGAGCTTTTCTGAGAAATCCAAAAAACATCAGCACACAGAAAAGTTTCAAATGTGGAAAAGTATACTTGTAAGTAAACCAATTTAATTACCTTCCTCCTGACGATAAGAGGGGCATCATCATCATCATCAACATCATCCTCCAGAATGGGAGATGCTGAGGCTGGCTGTTTGCTACTTGGAGCACTCTTGGTCGTAGTAGGCTTGGCAGGGAGAAAAGAAGATGGACGAGCAGACTGTTTACTGCAATGAGAAGGAGAGGGGCTCTGAACAGACAAAAGAGTGACCAAAACAGGAGGAGGAAAAGAAATGCTCGGTTGGTCTAATGAATGAAAGGCACGATTGGCATCAGTCGCAAATAATCTGCGCTTCACCGACGGCCAGAGTTGTTCAAAAAGAGGGTGAATGGCGTGGCTAGAATTGAAGGGGGCCAATGAAAAATGACTGGTTAAAAGAAGATTACGAGCATCTATAGCCTCTGCCTCCGCCTTAGTAATGGTATGAAAACGGTCAACTAAGTTCCTTGAATAGCAAGGAGGAACAGGCCAAGTTTGGCCAAAACCAAGCTGACGAGCAAAAAATTGGGGAGCATAAATCTCTACCCGCGCTTTGGCATTGGTCCCAGTTAGAATATCATGAAATAGCTCCCTCCCAGTTAAAAACTGGATCCAAGTGAGTAGGGAGGTGCTCGCGTTATCTATAGTGGAAGGGGGATGTACATAGTTTGGAGTCAAAAAAGGAGGAAAAGGAAAAAAGGAAGGGATTGAATCCAAAGAATAAAAGAATGAAAAAATATCCCTTCTGGACATATTTACAGGAGTTAAGAGCTCCATGGCTAGCCCATAACAGCTAGCAGAAGGGCGAGAAATGGATGGAGCACCCAGCGATGGAAAATAGGATCTCAACCACAGTTGAGTGAACCAAAGAGGTCCACTGCCAGTGGGAGATGCACCATTCTTCAATTGAGTTTGAAGAGAGGCCATGCCTCTATAAAGGGCAGCCAAAAATAAAGAACATAAATTCAAAGGCCTGTCATGCGCCAATTCGTGCGCTATAGGTAAATAACTCAGAGAATGCTTTATACTTGGCACGCACAAAACATATTTACAAAGCCAAACTAAAAGGAAGGTCACTCGCTCAGTATGGGTAGGCTCAGCGCTCGAATGATTGTGGAGGGTCTGCAGGCTTGAATAAGAATCGATGTAGTTTCTACCAAACTTTGGGGCGCCACCAGAAACTAAGATACCGGGAAAAATGGTATCGTCCAAAGGTGGCGGATTCACCAGGGCCCCAACATCCCTTAAGGTAATAGACATGGGGCCAAGAGGAAAAACAAAGGTGTTATACTCAGAGGACCAAAAACTCAAAACAATTGAAAAGAGTGCTAAATCGAAAGTAGGGGGGCGGATAGAGATTTCCAACAAATCAGAAATCCTAGCGCTATCAAAAAGTGCCTTAGTAGGACCATGACCCACAAGGCGAGCATGTCACCTACGAAAAGCTACATCAGATTTAGGCCAAGTGCGTAATGAGTGCAAGGAAACAGCTGACCCACCGCCGCCTGTTCAACCGCCTCCGCATTGTTGAAGAAAGGACCCAAGTAAAACTCATTACGTCCAACGTCGGTGGGCGCGAGAAAACTTGGGGTTATGTATGGGTGACTCAGAAGTCTCTGAAAGTCATCAAAACTAAAGGAATCGCTAGCTTGAGATTGTGAAGCAGCCATTGGAGAAGGAACGAAGCTTTTCAGGGTTACGTAGCAAGGAAGCAAAAGACGAACAGTGAATCGTGAAAGAGACGCAAAAAATATGAGGCGTGGTTTGGTAGCAGTGAAATGGCGTGTTTGGGGTTTATAAGGGTTTGCAAAACGACGCACCTTTTCAAGTTATAGAAGGAAACAATGATTGAAATTCTTGGGAATTTCGAATGTTGCTGGAAACACAAAGTGAATATGGCAAAATTCAATAATTATTATTAATTCTGCCATATTGGGGGGTAATTGTTGACACATAAAAATTCAGCCCAAATCGAACAGCCCAAGAAGTAAATCCCAATTGGAGGATCCCCAAATCAGATAGCCCAAAGAACGAAGCCCAATCAAACAAATCAAGGTGAAGGCCCAAATAAGGAGGCCCAAGAATGCGGTAACGCTATCGCCCAAGTTTGCAAGTCGCCCAGAATCTGAACGAATAGAGTGTCATGCGATCGTCCAGAGCTGTTACTCTATTCTCGCCCAAACCTTCAAGTCGCCCAAGTTATCAACAAACATAACGCGTCGTGGTTATCAAGAAATGCAGTTATCAAAGCAGTTGTTAAAGCAGCCCTATCACATTCCACGATTCAAGGAATTCAATCAAAAGCGGTTGAACGATGAAAGGTAATGGCAGCAGTTAAAAGGCAGTTTTCATGACAAAATGGCCACTACGAAGAAAGTGGGTAGTTATATGACGATCAAACAGTTTTTAGAGTAGTTAATCACAAAGAGATCGTCTATAAAGTATAAAAGGGAGAAAGGACATAGAAGCAAAGAACCGAATCCAAAACTCTCGAACAGAGAATATGTAATTTTCATTTCCTTAGTTTTTAGATTTAAACAGTTTTCTTTCAGTAACTTGTGTGCTTGCGCCCCTTGGAGAAGCGTTGTTTTTCATTTCCAATTGTAAAGTCATCGCCAATAAAAGAACACCCATTTTTGGGATTTTGTCTCAAGAGGTTTGTCCCTTACACAATCGTCTGATCCCTTTTAATTGTTAGCGACTAACCCGCGCGAAACATGATGAATAAACGATCATGCGAGACAATGAATCTTATAACATCCCTTGTACTTGCATGCTATCAACACAAATAAGATCAACTAATAGACAAACAAGTGCTACTCGAATGCAATATGTTAAACGCTAAACAACTATGATGCCTAGCTTAGCGAAGTTTTTAACGTTATTCTCGACATTTGAACCATATGCATTTATCATATTCTGCAACTTCAACCACCATTTTTGCAAATAATTTATTCCTACCATTAACGCTATCGTCAACACACAACTATCTTAAATTTCTATCTATCAAAGTTATTTAAGAATGTTGTGACACAGTGTTTGAGGAACACGCCATAATAAATATGATTTTTTTTTTTAAATGCTCCAATAATCTTACAACAAATATTGAGTAATTGTTTGGATAATATAATCCATTTAAATCAAATATGTAATGACTATTAAACATAACTTATCAACAAAAAAAATAACATTAAAAACATTACCTTCCACCGAGAATTGTGGAGAGCCTAATCAACTCGCAAATTTGAATGAGATTAAATTATTTGAATAAAATTATATGAATTGATTTTCTACTTCATCTTTTTCTTTTTTTTTCCCCAAACTAATTAGTCAATACCTAGTAGATAATGATAGCAAATAAACCCATTAGATAATAACTAGTATTATTGTAGCTTCTCATGAAAGCTACTTAGAGCATGTTTGCTAAAGATTTTAATCCAATTAACATCAATTTTTTTTACCGTTATTTCACTATTTCAACCGTCATTTTTGAATTCTTCTCTCATAAGTAGGACTTACTTTATCTCTAACAGTGAAAAATTCAATTAACAAAATCCCTACCAAACAAGCACTTAGTTAGCCTCGAAATTCTCGACACACCAAAGAAATTGTTTTATTTTTCATTAATAATAAAATAGACTTTTTGGTATCAAATTTGGCTATGTTTGCAAGAATTATCAAAATTAGACACTTTTCAATTGACAAGCATGAAATTGGCCATTTTTTAAAATTCCCCTTTATTTTTTTGCTGATCCTACTGGTAAAGGGTCAGATGCTACTATTTTAAAATGAAAACATAAAAAAGTTGAGCCGAGCACGTATGGTCGTATAAGAAATAAGATGCATTTCTATAAAAATGTGAGATTATGTTTTGTCTTATATGACATTTTCAAATTATCCATCATATATACCATCTGCATTTTTACTCTTTCCTCATTTCAATTTTGACATTTTGATTGCTTTCTTTTTTACCTATGAAAGTCGTGCAATAAAGAGTTGTACATTTTTGTAGTGCTATTTTTTCCAAGGATTTAGGGCTTGTTTAAGCCTTATTTTCATTTTTCAAAAAATGCATTTTGTAATAGTATATGATTAATAAGGAAAAGTTTTGAATTTGCGTGTAGTATTATTTTATTCAAGAATATATAATTGAAATGAAGTCAAATCACTGTTCAAGAATACATTTTGGCAAAAAATGGAACTCAAACAAGGGCTTAATAAAAAAAGGTAAAAGTATAGGATAGGAAAATAATCAAAATATCATTCATATATAATATGAAATGATGGGGGTTAGATCATTAAATAGCGACAAAAAAATAATATTTCTTCTAATAATTTTTCGAGATTATGTGATGTAGCTAAAAGTTGATACACGTTGGTAGATTTTATAAAACATGTGATGAAAAGTGAATAACAACTATGAACTATGAATCCAATGAAATGTATTGTTAAAAATGAAGTTTGATCATTTTTAAAAAAACAGAAATTTTAACACACACACTTAAAAAGCGATATTATTTCTCATTAGAGCCACTTTGAGTTAATAGAATTTAAAATAATATTTTTTTAGAGAATATATAATTAAAATGCAGGAAAAAAATTTGAATTTTGTAGAATTATTTTATTGCGAGAATGTATGATTAAAAATGAGTTTGAAAAAAAACTGATTTTTAAAAGAATTGCTTTCTTTAGTTAAAAATCTACAAAGTAATGTTTAAGTCCTATTTTATGACTTTAGGTACTTTTGGAATCAATTTCTCAAACCTGAAAAATAAAAAGGTCAAAATTATCAGTGGAAGTAACATTTTGATAGCGGTAGCAGAGAAAACATACAGAAAGAAAAAAGTATTTTACCATTTGCATCCATTTCGAAAATTGGGAAAAATATTCATAAAACACGTGGAAATTTATCTTTATAGAGCTCTCCAATTTACACTCTAATTAACACTAATCAGTAACTAATTTTTTATTAAAAAAGGTTGCCAAGATCATCTGCTTCGCAGAGTCTTTACACCACTTCTCGTCAGCTTAATCTTGATTATTCCTCTCCTCAACCTCCTGGCTTCGGCAAATCTGGCCCGTTTACCGGCAAGATCTCTATTGACATCCAACGGCTGGGATGGTTCCACCACAAAAGCCTCTTCAGGAGAAAGATTCAGATCAGGAAGTCCAACTGGGCCCACTTGATTAACATGTTCCAATCCATTGCTGGATGGTGCCATTGGGATAAATGGGTAGTGAATACTTTCCCTTATTTGTGACGATGATGATGATGACCCTGTGGCCATCTGATCTAAAATGAACGGCTGGTGATGAGGCACGGCAGTAATTTGATAATGTTGGGCTAAATTCATCTCAAAATTCAAGAAACTGCTCATTCCCATATGGGAACCTTCGTTTATGAGGCAAGTTGTTAATGCCTGTTAGTACAACACATGTAATCAAAATTCTTAACAAACAAACATGAAAAAGGCAAAAATTGTAAGGATTAGCCAATGTTTGATAAACATTATTTTAAAACTCTATTTTTTAAGTATTTATTTCTAGCCATACATTCAAACAATAAAAATATTTAGTACGTAAACTCAAAACTTTTCGCGACTTTAAACCTCGGATTCTCATAAAAATCACTGCTTAATACATTGTTTTTATTCTATATTTTTAAACAGATCAAACAACGGGTTTTGCATACCTTTTCTTTCATTGATTTCAACTTCATATTGTAAGCCTTCAACTTGTTGTAGTGATTCCTCACATTCTCTACTTCCTGTTTAATTCACACAAAAAAGGAGTCCCTTTCAATTTTTTATTTCTGGAAAATATGAAACATTGTACAAAGTACAAACAAATAGTAAAAAAAGCAAGATTCTATATAAAAATAAATAAATACAGATAAATATGGAAAATTATAAGGAAATTACGAACTCACCCCTTTGAGCAAATCTCTGCGTTTAGTTAATCCATCTATAACCTCCATATAATTCTCCTTTGTCTGCAAATTCAACAAAAAATCACAGAGCTACTCATTACAATTCTTCAATTGCAATGGAACGTATGTACAAAACTTGACAGAAAAAATAAAATTAAAATCTCGACTGAGCCTAAAAACAGGGGAGAACATTAAAGGCTGAAAATAAGGAATTGCGGAAAAAATCCAGATGTTAAAACTCCAAGAAAATAGAAACCCAGAACAAATCCATACAAAAAATAGTAGTAGAGAAAAAAATTGAAATAAGAAATACCTTTTTCTTGGAAGAATGCTTGGACTTTTCATCAGATTCACTCGGCGAAAAAGAGAGAGGCGTCGTTGGACTTGTGGATGGAACTTCCACTATGACTCGAGGTTCGATTTCAATCTCAGTTCCATTAATGGACGGTGATTCTGATACGGGTGCAGGAGCCGGAGCATCCCGAGTAGATCTCCTCCTTTTACTACCCCATAAGAGATTGTGTCTTGATTCTGATCCAACAACTGAATTTCCCAAATCGAGTAAAATCCCTGCCACTCCAATCTCTTCCTCTGTGAAACAACTTATTTTGCTCTGTTTCATTCTGTCTTCAACTTTTCTTGATTTCCGCACTTGAATTTTGCTACAAGAAGAGAGGAGGAAAGCAAGAGAGAGAGAGAGAGAGAGAGAGAGAGAGAGAGAAGCTTAGGGCGTGGGTTGGGTAAAGGGGGAGCTTAATAAACGAAATCCATGGGTAGAGAGAGAGAGAGAGTAGGCGGATGCCACGTGTCAAGAAGTAGTAGATATCGAGGGTTGTCTAGGGTTTCGACCTTATATGGTAATCTTTGGCTCTTTGCTGCAGCGTGTGTCGAAACTGAAATTCAAATTATAAGCAAAAAACATAAAGAATAATAGAAGTAAAAAGGGAACAGTTCCCATTAAGGTAAGAAGACTTGCCCTTGAAACGAAAAGATTTCTTTTTCTTTTTCGTTTTATTTTTTTGACAAAATAAGAATGAAAAACAGCTTCATCAATTACTTGGTTATCAAGAAATTGGAACTATAAAAAGGAAAAGTTAGATTCGTTGTAGTGTTGCACTTTGGGAATAATAAGGTTGGGTGTTGTCCTCTATTACCCTAATTTGGAGACTGGAGAGTGTGTAAAAAAATTATTTAAACAACAAAATATAACCTCTATGTGGTAAAAATGTAAAAATTATATTTAGATTTTAATCTTAATTAAAATTAATAATTAATTTTAACCACATAATTCTTGGACCCACAATTTTTTGACTACATATATTATCAAGGTATATCAAATTTTACTAAAAATCTGACTTTAATTCCTACTAAATAAGGGCATAAATTGTAAAATGTAAAGAATTTGATTTTTATGGTTATTTGCAGCTTAGTATCCGCAATCATCTTTTTCAATACTAAACCCCTGTTTGATTTTGACAAAAATCATATTTTTAATTACAGAATTAAGATATTTCATTGGTCGGTGTACCATACATCATTGAGATTAACACTTGGTGTGTCTAAAGGAGATATCACTTTTTTCTTTTCTTTCACGATAGATGTTTTGACAAATTTGTTTCATGGTGTGACGTTGCTAGATTTTTATGGTTTAAGCTTGTGTTGTCCTCTTAGTGGTGACAATGGGCCAAGTCGAGCCGACTCGGCCGGGCTCGGCTCGACCCACAAGTTCGTGGGCTCGTCCAAATTTATTTATTTTATTATTATTATTAGTTTTTAAGAGTTTTACAAATAAATGAAATAATATAAAACACTTTTAAAAAAAATAAAAAGTGTTAAAAAATACAAATAATTTAACGAAAATAAATTTTTATTTATTTTTATTTATATCATATTGTAATACTTTTTATAAAGTATAAAATATTTATATAATGAAGATGAATTATTTTTTGAAATACATTTACAAAAAATATTTTTTTTTTATTTCTTTTAAAAGTAGATAAAATGTAAATCCTCCTCCTTTATCCGGGTTTGGGACCGGCTACATCAATTTTAAGTAGGCGGAGTTAAAAATTGTACTCGAACAACTTGTTGTAACGTGTACAAATTTTTAAAGAAAATTAAATTTAACGATTAAAAAATAAAGAAATTTTGATTAATATAATTAAATCAAATATCACTTACCTGATGACATGCAATTTCAGCGTATTTATCTTGTAGTCGAAAATGAGCGTTCTGTCAATCCTTCACACACATTAACACTTTCAAAACATCTTCTTTCAGCCGGCTCCCGACATCGATCAAAACCCTTTTACCTGTATTAAAAGCAGACTCCGAAACAACAGTGCTAACCGGAGGTGTCAGCAGATCTTTCGCAATTGCAGAAACAATTGACCAACGTCTTTCATACTTTCGCCAGAATTCAATTACTTCTTATGAACTTTTTTTAATTGTTCTGTCTGTTGACATATTATGATTGAAGTAATCAATTAATTCGGCAGACATCGCATTTTGAGTTTCGACGGATGTTTGATGAGATGCAAATATAGACGAAATGACACTATATGAACACATTGCAATTGCATCATATCTAAATGTATTAATGCCTTGAAATAAATTCATTATTTCGGCATCATTTTCTTCAATTTCAGCAGAAAGAGTAGGTGCAGAGGGTACCCGACTAACATTCGCACCCATTCTTTTCACATATAAATCCTACATTTCACATAATATTTGTTCTAAATTCTTATAGGTGATAGGTGTATCAAGTATTAAAACTTCATTGATTTGATCAATTACGTATTTAGTTCTCGAAATATTATATCGGAGGTCCATTGCGCATGTTAAAGGAAATAATATAGGCAGTTCTTCCCAATATTTTCTAAACTTTAATTCCATAGCAATTATAATTTCACTAAAAGCAGGATCATTTTTATATTTATGGAATGTTCTTGCAATTATATAAAGGCGTTTAAGCACCATACAGCTTGTGGGATAACAAACGCCGGATAAAATCTTTATGGTCTCATAAAAAGATTTCAAAAATCGTTTAACTTTCAAAACTAAAATCCAATCGGACTCATTTAACATACCACCGTTATCACTTCTAACGTGTCTATTGTTATAAAAGTTAGTTATTAAATTTTCGAAACCTTCACATGACTTTAATAGCAAGTAAGTAGGGTTTTATCTATGGCCTATGTCGCTAACAAATGTTTTAGCAGCCGTCACCCCTAGTTCGGCACAAAAATCTTCAAATGCTTGTTTTCTACTAGGAGAGATCGTAATATATACTAATGCATTCTTAATCCTTTGAAATCATCCTTTATATGTTTTAAACTATCTTTCATAATTAAATTCAAGATATGACATACACAACGAATATGAAACAAATACCCACCAAAATCAGGTTGAAATGTCCTACACAATTTATCGACGACTACCTTATTAACACTAGTATTATCAAAAGTAAAAGATCGAATTTTATTCTCGCAATGATATTCTCTAACTGATAATAGCATTATATATATTATTAATATTGTGAGAAAACTCAATAATTCTAAAAGCAATAATTTTCTTATGTATGCACCAAAATGGGTCTATATAGTGTGCGATTGCAGCTATATATGCTCTTTTATTAACTCATTCCCATATATCAGAAGTTAAAGATATAACACCCTTATATTGTTGCAAATCCATAATTAATTATTGTTTGAATTATTGAAATAATTTTTTATATCGGCACGAAGAGTGTTTCGACTTACCCCAACGTACCTCGGTTGTAGATATTCTTTCACGAACGAAACGAAGTGTTGGTTGTCTGCAATAGCCAGAGGCAACTTAGTGGCGACAACAAATTTCACTATTCCTATTCGAGTATTGTCCTCCGAATACACCCATGTGGATAGGGGTGAAGTTGTAGAATCAGCGCTTATACTACTAAATTACAATTGTGTTTGACCAGCTGGAAGAAGTCCATGTCTGGCCGCACATGCTTTGTAGTTGCGGTTGAGATGGGTGGTACCAATTTTTTTTTTTATCATGCCAATCTTTGTTGGCAGTATTTACATACTGTTTTAGATTATGTAAGGTCATCGACGACTTTTCCCGTTGAAATCAACTTAAAGTGATCCCAGGATTTTGCTTATTTTTTGGCCTTGCGCTTTCCCATCGCATCTGGGATGTTTAATTCAGAATCTTCATCCTCATGTTCCATTTCGAGAACGTTAATATCATCCAAATCAATTGGATTGTGGCTTCCCTGACCGTGAATGTGAACATCTTCAGGTATCGGTAGTCATTTAGACCGACAAATTCATTTGAAAATTGACTTTGCGGTGTCCTAGGCGATTCGCCATGATGTGGCCCACATCCTGTATCGAACAAGCTCTCAATAAATGAACGTTGATCCATTTGTTTGATTGTTTATGATGAAATCTTAACTAGAAGAATATAAATGTAGTGAGATTGTGAGAATTGAGAAATGGATGAATTGAAATTGTAACTAATAAACTGCAAAAAATGAATTGATATTGTATATTTTGCAGCACAAGAGAGTAAAAACTCGATAATTGATATAATAAAGAGAGTTGGAGACTTGGAGTAGCAATTGATATGAAAAAAAAATCTTTGGGAGAAGGGGTATTTATAGTAGAAGGGGGAAAAAATTAAAAAAAAATTATTTCAGTGACCGAAAAAAGTGACCGTTTTGGTCACTTTACATTTGAGGGCTCGACGAGCCACGAGCCATTATTTTTAACGAGCCACGAGCCCCATTCAAACGAGCTACTCGTGGGCTCGCACACAAGCAGCTTGCCTTTTAGGCGAGCCAAGCCCGCGAGGCTCGGGCTCGGGCTCGTAACTCGTGATTTTACGAGCTCGAGCCGTCCACGAGCCCCATTTTCATGAGCCGATGAGTGGCTCGGCCCTTTTGACATCCCTATGTCCTCTTGGCGGAAAGTAATTCTGTACCTGAATAATAAATAAATAATTTTTTTTTGTAAAGAATGATGGTTCATATTCATGAAATATTCCATTGAATGAGATGACAACAATAAAATTTAAGTTAAGAATTGAAGGAAGTGCTCAGGTACGGCAATCAACCCTTGGAATGAGGAAGTTGAGAAAATAGCTCTTTGGTTTGGTGTCAACCATGATGAAAAACATGACAATAAAAGGAGAGGTCAGCAAATTCCCGAGAAAAATATGGATAATTACCTGGACATCACTATTGTAAATTAACAACTTGTCTGTTTTCTGCTTGTTCAGTGGATTTTAAGCAAAAAAAAGCCGTTGAAGTGGACTGTGCATCCCACCTGTGAGAGGTCAGTAAAAAATGACGGCTTCTTTTGATTTCCAAAGGGCAAAAAATAAATAAATTTTGGGCTCCAAAAATCCATCCCAGATAGGTTCTAAGTACATTTGATTTAGACTTTGTATACTTGTTTAGGGAATTAACAGCTGCTACTTGCTCAAGGGGTAGCACTAGTCAAGAGATAAGAGTCTATCTATTTGATTTGTATAGATTTCTGAAGCTGTATTTTTCCAACTTTCATGAGTTCTCAAGATATGTTTTTGTCACTTACAAGTATGAACATTTTAGTTGATGTCTCCATTGATAATCCACCGAATGCCACCATTGCGGATTCCACGAATGTGGATGCTTTACCTCCACTCAGGCATCGATCTTTGAGTCCCATGACGTCCAGTGCAAACACGAAGATACCTTACACACACAGAAGCCGTAAAATTGGTAAGAGGGATGTTCAAGAAGTTGAAAATGTTGTTGGAGTAGAACCTTG